CCTCACCTCACCTCACTTTCCACCTCACCTCTCCTTACCTCTCCTCTTCTCTCCTCACCTCATTTCACCTCCTCTCCTCACCTCACCCCTCCTACTTTCTCCTCCTCACCTCTCCTCACCTTTTCTCACTCCTCCTCACCCCTCCTCACCCTCCTCACCCTATCACCCCCTCACCTCATCTCACCTCTCCTCACCCCTCTTCAACTCTCCTCACCTCTCCTCATTTCACCTCTCCTCACTTCTCACCTCACCTCACCCCTCCTCACCTCTCCTCACCTCACCTTTCCTCACCCTCCTCACCCCTCTTCACCCCTCCTCACCTCTTTCCCAAACCCCCTCTCTACCTCTCTCCCCTGGGTTCTTAGGCCTCTCTAGCTGCTAATTGGAGCCTCAGCCTCACTAACAGGTTCCTAAGGTCCATCCAGGCCATGCATGCTCTGGCTTGCTCAGTAGAGGCTCAGGGGGTTAACACCTGCCGGGAAGGAATAGCACCCAGGCATTACCTCCTTCTGAGATCCAGGACATACACTAGGCCTCTAGCCTCTGTGTTTGCTTCAGCCGAGCAAGGCCTGTGTGTCCTCCAGCTCCTTGGGCGCTGGCAAAGGCCTGCTAACTCAGCCTGCCGTGGGAACTTTGGCCTCAAGTGCTGCCCAGAGAGGGCAGGGCCCACAGCCAGCAGGCACCAAGCCTGCACTGGGCTGGCACTTCCACCAGCCCTCCCCAAACCTTTCTCACAGCTGGCGTAGCCGAGGAGAAAAGGCCTGCTCTAGTCCTGCGTTCCCTAACGCCTGACTCAGTGGCGTCTGACAGCCCCACCCCGCCAGGTCTGGTGGGTGCTCACCCCTGAACGCTGAAAATGACACAGTGACTGTTATCAGTGGGCTCGAGTATAGCAGAAATGGCAAGGATGGCACAGGCCAAGGTTCAGAACCGTTACTGATAAGGGAAGATGTGAGTCATGGTTGGCTGCATGGGTATCTAGAAAGGAGATCTGTGGTGGGGTGGTCAGTAGGGAGCTGGGATGCTAACCTAAGGGCTGCTAGTTCAGATCCACCAGCAGCTCCGCAGGAGAAAGACAGACAATCTCCTCCAATGTGAGAGCCACGTATGAATCAGTTCTGACTCCACAGCAATGTGTGTGTGTGTGTGTGTGTGTGTGTGTGTGTGTGTGTGTGTGTGTGTGTGTGAGAGAGAGAGAGAGAGAGAGGGAAGGAGAGGGAAGGAGGGAAAGAGGGAGAAGGAGAGGGAGAGGGAGGGGGAGGGAGGGAGGGAAGGAGAAAGGGAGAGGGAGAGGAAGAGGTAAAGGGAAGGAGAGGGAGAGGGAGGGAGAGGGAGAGAGGGAGGGGGAGGGGAGGGGGGGAGAGAGAGAATGAATCTAGAAAAGGGAGAGCTGGTGGTGTAGTTTGTGGGAATTGAGCCACTAAACCCAAAGGTAGTGTCTCTCTCCTGAGGTTCAAATCCACCAGCAGCTTCAAGGGAATATGATGGTTCACCTCCTCTTGATGATGATGGTTCATCCTCTCTTGCACGGTTTATATCCTCCGGGAAACCCACTGGAAAACCTATGAGTTGGTTCTGACTACTTGGCAATGACTTTTGAGTTTGTTCTAGAAAGGACAGTGGTGACTCAAGGGCAGAACTCTCACCTTCCACGTGGGAGACTCTGGCTTCATTTCCAGCTAATGCATCACCAGCTCAGCCACCTCCTGTCCCCTCCTGTCCCCCGGGGAGGCTTGTTGCTGTGTTGTTGAACAATTTGAACATTGCCTCCAAATTAAGGCAAACTAGGAAGAAAGGCCTGGAGATTGACTTTGAAAACCAGGCTCTGTGAATCACATTGATCTGATCCTATCATGTGTGGAGTCCTGTAAAAATGGCCAGAGGGTGGTGTCATCCAACCTCCTCTAACTTCACCTTGGGATCAAGTGGTGGGGGGCAATCGGGACCAATATCCATTAGAGGCTGTTTTCAATGGGGTGAAGGGCAGATGTTCCTCCTCTCTCCAACCTTTTTTTTTTTTTAACCAATTCGACCACCAGCACTTTACTTCTCTGGTGGG